CTCCTGAAAAGTAGGTACTACACCAGCTTGAAGAGGGTTGTGAAAATGAAAAGGCTTAGCTGACATACTACTGTTAACAAATGGAGGTTAGTGACCTTCAGGGTTATCCTTAATCTCCCAGGTGTCTGGGTGACACGTTCTCAAACACACTTGAAAAAGCAGTTACCATACATTACCTTCTGGAGGATCCAAAAGCATGGCTACAGTTCCTAGGCTTACATTAATGCTTGCCAAAGCTAGCCATATTGGGCTCTCAGTCTCCATTGGCATCAGAAGGGGAGAGTTTTTCATGAGGGCCCAATAGGTCTCTGCCATGTTGGGCTTCAGCAGCAGCTACAGGACACACACAGCACTCGGGAATCCAAAGAGGAACAACATTGTCCTGTGGAAAGACACAAAGAGAACTCCAAACCCACACCAACACCAGATCGGGTCTCCTCCAAGTGCCAGTAGAAAGATCCTTCCATCGCTCCATAGGGTGATTCGCAACAGGAGCCCTCCAGTATTTATCTTCAGCGGATACTCAACCAGAATCCACCAATAAAAAATTTAAAATATATAAAACAAGGGAAAGAATAGAATGTGGAGAGGAATGATGAGTCTCTGGTTCTCCCTTTTTTACTTTAGTAAAATTTGTTTGTTTCTTTGTTTTTAATAGTTCAAATTTTTTTCTTTTGTCTTTTTTAAATTAATTAATTAATTTTTCTATTATCAGCTTGATACAGTATAAATTCTTGAAAAATGACATTTTCAAGTCATTTTCTTTTCTTTGACTTTATATTACTGGGCTAAATAATGAAAATTTAAAGGTCTGGCCCATTTCTGTAGACATTTTCATTTTATAAGCTAAAGTGACAGAACTTCACTAACAAGCCTCCTTCCCTGTTTCCATTTAAAGGAATAGGAATAGCTAATGGAAGTGTAAGCTTCACAGCTAGTCATAAAATAAGGTACTTTCTATGCATGATATGTACTTTTATATGCTTAATGCTCTGCATTGCTGCAAATAAAGCATTGTAGTTATGTGTAAGCAGACATATCTTTCCAACTACTTCAGCCTCATTCATTTTGTGACACTGAAAATGGTTTGCCATATCACATTTTCTTGCATGTGCATTCTTGTTGAAAAGTCCCTTGTGACCTCTAATGGTTGCATTTTAATTACATAATATGTCATGGATATATATATAAAATTTAAATTTCAGACCTTTGAAATAGTGGTTTCACTGCACAATTCTTAAGGATTCCTTCATTAAAACACATTCTAAGCAACTGATTTGACTCATAATAAAACCCAAGCTAGATTCTACCATTAAAAAAATTAGCCCAAGTTTCTCAATCAATAGACCCTAAGTCTCTCTAGTTTTCTAATATCTCTTATTATTTATGGGTGAACAGAACAACTTCTTAAGAATATCAGTTTTACTTGTATGTTTTATATGTCAGAATTATATGATTTGGATGTTTTGGATGGGGGAATAATAATATGTCATAGTAGAAAAGAAGTTATTTTATTAAATTATAGTGTAACAATATAAATTTCTAATATGTTCTGATTAAAGTTTCTCTTTCCTTGAATTCCTCTGAGACCTTCCCCAATTGCCCTCTCATTTGAATCAATACCCTTTCTCTCTCTCATTAGAAAACAATAGGCATCTAAAAAACAATGAAATAAAATGGAAACAAACAAATCAGAATAGGACAACAATAACAAACAGAAAAAAAAGAACCAAAGCAAAAGCACAAGAAATATAGACTGTTGCTGCTTTTCTTAAATCCTATTAAAATATGTAAGTTAAAGTAGGCTTTAGGCAAAAGTCATTATCTCCTTAGAACACTGTTTTTCAAATTTTTGTACAGATTAAATGGATTCCCCTGTCATCCCGCCTCCTGCCCCCTTCCCCCAAAGCCCACCCCCCATTCCCATCTCCTCCAGTGCAAGGACTCCCCTGGGGATTCAGCTCAACCTGGTAGATTCAGTCCAGGCAGGTCCAGTCCCCTCCTCCCAGGCTGAGCAAAGTGTCCCTGCATAGGCCCCAGGTTCTAAACAGCCAGCTCATGCACTAAGGACAGGTCCCAGTCCCACTGCCTGGATGCATCCCAAACAGTTCTAGCTGATCAACTGTCTCACCTATCCAGAGGGCCTGATCCAGTTGGGTGCTCCTCAGGTATTGGTTCATAGTTCATGTGTTTCTACTAGTTTGGCTATTTGCCCCTGTGCTTTTTCCAACCTTGGTCTCAACAATTCTCGCTCATACAATCCCTCCTCTTTCTTGCCGATTGGACTCCTGGAGCTCCACCTGGCGCCTGGCTGTGAATCTCTGCATTTGCTTCCATCAGTCATTGGATGAGGTTTCTAGCACGAAAGTTAGGGTGTTTGGCCATCATGTCACCAGAGTAGGTCAGTTCAGGCTTTTTCTCAACCATGGCAGCAGTCTATTGTGGAAGTATCTTTGTGGATTTTTGGGGACCTTTCTAGCACTTTGCTTCTACCTATTCCCATGGGGTCTTCATTTATCATGGTCTCTTTTTCCTTGTTCTCCCTCTCTGTTGGGGAGCTGGGGTCTCCTGCTCCCCTAAGCTCTCTTTCCCTCTATACTTGCCCTTCATTCCACCACCCTATATCCAGTTTGCTCATGTAGATCTCATCCATTTCTCTGTCATTGGGCAATCCCTGTGTCATTCTTAGGGCCCTGTTTTCTAGGTAGCCTCCCTGGAGTTGTAAGTAGAAGTCTAGTCATCCTTTCTTTTACATTTAGTATCCTCCTATGAGTGAGTACATACCATGTCTGTCTTTCTGAATTTGAGTTACCTCACTCAGGATGATTTGTTCTAGATCCATTCATTTGCCTGCAAACTTTATGATGTCATTGTTTTTTTCTGTACTCCATTGGATATATGTACCACATTTTATTTATCCATTCTTCAGTTGAAGGGCATCTAGGTTGTTTCCAGGTTCTGGCTATTAAAAACAATGCTGGTATGAACATAGCTGATCATGTGCCCTTGTGGTATGATTGAGCATTCCTTGGGTATATGCCCAAGAGTGGTATATCTGGGTCTTGGGGGAGATTGATTCCCAATTTTCTACGAAACTGCCATATTGATTTCCAAAGTGGCTGTAAAAGCTTGCATTCCCACCAGCAGAGGAGGAGAGTTCCCCCAGCTCCAAATCCTCTCCAGAACAAGCTGTCTTCAGTGTTTTTGATCTTAGCCATTCTGATGGGTGTAAGGTGGTATCTCAGAGTCATTTTGATTTGCATTCCCTGATAATTAGGGAAGTTGAGCAATTCCTTAAATGTCTTTCAGCCATTTGAGCTTCCTCTGTTGAGAATTCTGTTTAGCTCTATAGCCCATTTCTTAATTAGACTGTTGGGCATTTTGCTGTCTAATTTCTTAAGTTCTTATATATTCTGGATATCAGCTCTGTGTCAGATGTGGGGTTAGTGAAGATCTTTTCCCATTCTGTAGGCTGTTGCTTTGTCTTGTTGACCATGTCCTTTACTCTACAAAAGCTTTTCAGTTTCAAGGGGTCCCATTGATTGATTATTTCTCTCAGTGTCTGTGCTACTGGTGTTATATTTAGGAAGTGATCTCCTATGTCAATGAGTTCAAGACTAGTTCCTGCTTTCTCTTCTATCAGGTTCAGAGTAACTGGATTTATGTTGAGGTCTTTTATCCACTTGGACTTAAATTTTGTTCACGGTGACAAATATGGATCTATTTGTAGCTTTCTACATGTTGACATTCAGTTATGATAACATCATTTGTTGAAGATGCTTTCTTTTTTCCATTGTACAGCTTTGGCTTCTTTGTCAAAAATTATATGTTCATAGGTGTGCGGATTAATGTCAGGGTCTTCAATTCAATTCCATTGGTCCACATGTCGGTTTTTATGCCAGTACCAAGCTGTTTTTATTACTGTAGCTATACAGTAGAGCTTGAGGTCAGGGATCTTGATGCCTCCAGAGGTTATTTTGTTGTACAAGATTCTTTTGGCTATCCTGGTTTTTTTTTTGTTGTTGTTGTTGTTTTTCCATATGAAGTTGAGTATTATTCTTTTCAGGTCTGTGAAGAATTGTGTTGGTATTTTGATGGGGATTGCATTGAATCTGTAGATTGCTTTTGGTAAGATTACCATTTTTACTATGTTAATCCTGCCTATCCATGAGCCTGGGAAATCTTTCCATTTTCTGACATCTTCTTCAATTTCTTTTTTTCAGGGACTTAAAGTTCTTGTCATACAGGTCTCTCACTTGCTTAGTTAAAGTTACTCCAAGGTATTTTATATCATTTGTGGCTATTGTAAAGAATGATGTATCTCTGATTTTCTTCTCAACCTGTTTGTCAATTGTATATAGGAGGGCTACTGATTTTTTTGAGTTGATCTTGTATCCTGCTATGTTGCTGAAGGTGTTTATAAGCTGTATCAGTATCCTTGGTCGAATTTTTCGGGTCACTCATGTACACTATCACGTCATCTGCAAATCATGAAAGCTTGACTTCTCCCTTTCCAATTTGTATCCCCTTAATCTCCTTATGTTGTCTTATTGCTCTAGGTAGAACTTCAAGTACTATATTGAATAAGTCTGTGCTGAAGTAAATTTTTAAGTATACTTTCCCATTATAAATCAACTTGTAGTTAGGAGACAATTTGTCCAAAAGTACAAAAAGCAAATCGCTTTCTGTTTTAATTAACATATTTATTAACTTTTTTTATTATTAAGTATTTTATTTTACATATAAACTACAGTTTTCACTCCTTCCTCTCCTTCTGTTCCCTCCTCCCACCTCCATTCTACTTCCACCATCCACTCCTCAGAAAAGGTAAGGATTCCTATTGGAGTCAACAAAGTATGGCATATCAGTTGAAGGATGAAGCTCCTCTGCCTTGCATCAAGGCTAAGCTAGCATCCCACCATAGGAAGTAAGTTCAAAAATGCCAGCTCATGAGCGAGGGACATATCCTAGTCCCACTGCTAGGGTCCACACAAGCAAACCAAGCTACACAACTGGCTCCCGCATGCAGTGGTCTAGGTTGGTGTCATGCAGGCTCCCTAGCTAAAGGTCTAGAGTCCCTGAGCACCCACTGTAAGTAAATTGCAAAAACTCTGGGTTTGGTGTCCCAGATTTCAGCACCAAAATGTTAGTAAATTGATGGCTGAAACTGCAAGGAGATAGTTCATCCGTAGAGGGTAAGGTATCCTGGACACCTTGAGCTACTCAGAACAAGAGCTCTGCCCTAAAGGTATCCTGGATACCTGGAGCTGTTTAGCACAGCTGTGATGGCTGAACTGGAGACAGTTCAGCCCTAGAGGGCAAGGTATCCTGGATACCTCAAGCTACTTAGATCAAGAGCTCTGCCCTGAAGGTGTCCCAGACACCTGGAGCTGTTTAGCACAGCTCTGATGGCTGGGACTAAAAAGAAATTGCCTAACCTTGGAAAGGAAGTTTTTCTGACTACTTGGGAGAGTCAGGCCTGGAACTGCTTCAGCAAGGAAGGGTATCCTGACTCTTCAGGAATGTCAAGGTATCCTGACTCTTCAGGAAAGTCAGGATATACCTGGTGTGATGGGGGATGGTCTCCCCACAGGACACAGCAATCCTGCTCCTCTTCTGGAGAGCCACAATCTCTGGCTCAGTGTTACCAGATCTTTCTTGCTCAGTCCACTATGGGACATCTTAGCAAAGTTCTTCTGTTCAGCTGTCAATGAAGGTCTTCACCCAATACTCTTTTGAGAAAGAGGTTTATTTGGGAAGGAGGAGTCCAAGAGAGTAACTGCCTCTACCAGGGTGGAGAGAACAGCTCACAACTGATGGGGCAGGGCAGTTTATATAGGATGTCTCGGGGGCAGTGTCAACTGTGATTGGTTAGTTTATTTTCTGCCCAGGGATTGGCCAGTTTTGTGAGCAAGGGGCAGAGATGGCCCTAATTTCAGGGCCAAACTGTGTTTCTCTCACTGGCCTTTCTTGGCTTTTTGACACTACCTCTAAGGCCAGGGCACATTTCTTTCACTGACTCTGATTCTAAGGGCCAACAGTATTACTTTGATACTAGTTTCAGAGTCAAGGCATGTTTCCTGGGTTCATTTCTCTGGCCCAGCTCCCAAACACAGGCTGTGTTTCTTTCCCTGGCCCTGAGCCCTAAGGCCAGGATTCTGCTATCCTGCTCTGTGATTGGTTGAATTCATAAGTCAGTTGGACAGGGGCAGAGATTGCTCTGATCTGAGCTAAACTGTGTTTCTCTCACTGTCCTTATCTGAGCCATCCTTCCCTGATTCTGGGCTCTAGGGTCAGGGTGGGTTTCTCTCGCCAGCCCCTTTTCCCTACATCCATGAAGTCAGGTAAGCTGTCTCTGTGGGTTTCCCTGTCATGATCTTGACCCCCTTGTCTCCTACAATCCTTCCTCCTTCTCTTCAACAGTTTTCCCTGAGCTTTGCCCAGTGCTTGGCTGTGGATCTGCTTCTGTCAGTTATTGGAAAAAGGCTCTCTGATGACAATTAGGGTAGTTACCAATTTGATTACAGGAGACAGCCAGTTCAGGCACCCTCTCCACTATTGCTAGGAGTCTTAGCTTGGGTCACCGTTGTGGATTCCTAGTTCTTTTTGTAACACAAAGTTTCTCTCTAACCCCATAACAGCCTCCTCTATCAAGATAGCTCTTTCATTCCTCTCCCCTTCCAACCCTCCCCAAACTCTACCATCCTGATCCCACAAGTTCCATCCCCTACCAGCTCTTATCTACCCCCTCCTTCCACCCCAATTAACCCAAAAGATCTCATTTATTTCCCCTTCCCAGGGTGACCAATGTGTCCCTTTTAGGGTTCTCCTTGTTACCTAGTTTCTCTAGGGCTGTGTATTATAGCCTGATTATTTTTTGTTGTATACCTACTATCCGCTTATGAGTGAGTACATACCATGTTTGTCTTTCTGAGTCTGGGTTACTTCACTCAGGATGATTTTTTTCTAGTTTTATCCATTTGCCTGCAAATTTTATGATGTCATTGATTTTTTTTTTTACCACTGAGTAATACTCCATTGCGTATATGTACCACATTTTCTTCATCCATTCTTTGGTTGAAGGCATCTAGTTTGTTTCCAGGTTCTGGTTATTATGAATAATACTTCTATGAGCATAGTTGAGCAATTATCCTTGTGGTATGATTAAGCAGCCTTTGGATATATGTTCAAGAGTGGTATCAATGGGTCTTGAGGTGGATTGATTCCCAGTTTTATGAGAAAACACTATACTGATTTTCAGTGTTATTGTAAGAGTTTGCACTTCCACCAGCAGTGGAGGAGTATTTCCCTTACTCTACATCCTCTCCAACATAATCTGTCACCAGTGTTTTTGATCTTAGCCATTCTAGCAGGTATAAAATGGTATCTCATAGTCATTTTGATTTCCATTAACCTAATGGCTAAGGATGTTTACATTTCTTTGTTTCTAAGTCATTTAAGTCATTTGAAATTCTTCTGTTGAGAATTCTCTGTGTAGATCTGTATCCCATTTTTTTTTTTTTTTTTTTTTTGGTTTTTCGAGACAGGGTTTCTTTGTGTAGCTTTGCGCCTTTCCTGGAACTCACTTGGTAGACCAGGCTGGCCTCGAACTCACGGAGATCCGCCTGCCTCTGCCTCCCGAGTGCTGGGATTAAAGGCGTGCGCCACCACCGCCCGGCCCAAGTATCCCATTTTTTTAAAGTTGGATTATTTGTTATTTTGATGTCTAGTTTCTTGAGTTTTTTATGTATTTGGGGGATCAGCCCTCTGTTAGATATGGGGTTGGTAAAGATTATTTCCCATTCTGTAGGCTGGCATTTTGTCTTATTGACTGTGTCCTTCACCTTGTGGAACCTTTTCATTTGTATGAGTTCCCATTTATAAGTTTTTGATCTCAGTGTCTGTGCTAGTGGTGTTATACTGAGGAAGTAGTCTCCTGTGTCAATGCATTCAAGTTTAAGGCTACTTCCCATGTGATCTTCTATCAGGTTTACTGTGATTAGATTTATGTTGAGTTCTTTGATCCACTGGAACTTGAATTTAGTGCAGGACAATAGATATGGATCTATTTGCATTATTCTACATGTTGACATCCACTTATGCCAGCACCATTTGTTGAAGATGCTCTCTTTTTTCCATTGTACAATTTGGACTTCTTTTTTCAAAATTCAGGCATTCATTGGTATGTGGATTTATATCAGGGTCTTGATTTGATTCCATTGACCCAAGTGTCTGTTTTTATGCCAATGCCAAGCTGTTATTATCACTAGAGCTCTATAGTAGAGCTTGAGGTCAGGAACAGTAATGCCTCCAGAGGTGACTTTATTGTACAGGATTGTTTTAACTATCTTGGGGTTTTTTGCCTTTCCATATGAAGTTGAGTATTGTTCTTTCCAGGTCTGTGAAGAATTGTTTTGGGATTTTGATGGGAATTGTATTGAATCTGTAGATTGCTTTTGTTAAGATTGACATTTTTACTATGTTAATCCTACCTTTCCATGAGCATGGAATATCATTCCATTTTCTGATACCTTCTTCAATTTCTTTCTTCAGAGACTTAAACTTCTTGTCATACAGGTCTTTCACTTGCTTAGTTAGAGTTACCACAATGTATTTTATATCATTTGTGGCTATTGTAAAGGGTGATATTTCTCTGACTATTTTCTACCTATTTATCATTTGTGTATTGGAGGGGTACTGATTTTTTTATTTAATCTTGTATCTTGCCATATTACTGAAGGTGTTTATCAGCTGCCAGAGTTCCCTGGTAGAATTTTTGGGGCCACTTATGTATACTATCATATTGTCTGCAAGTAGCAAAAGTTTGACTTCTTTCTTTCTAATTTGTATCCCTTGATCTCTTTTTGTTCTTATTGATCTAGCTAGGACTTCAAGTACTGTATTGAATAGATATGGGGATAGTGGACAGTCTTGCCTTGTTCTTGATTTTAGTAGAATCACTTTGAGTTTCTTTCCATTTAATTTGATGTTGGCTGTCAGCTTGCTGTAAATTGCCTTTATTATGTTTAGGTATGTTCCTTGTATTCCTGATCTCTCCAAGACCTTTATCATGAAGGGTTGTTGTATTTTGGCAAAGGCTTTTTCAATATCAAATGAGATAATCATGTGGTTTTTTGCTTTCAGTTTATTTATATGGTATATTGCATTGACAGATTTTTCATATGTTGAACCATCCTTGCATCTCTGGGATGAAGCCTATTTGATCATGTTAGATGATTTCTTTGTCGTGTTCTTGGATTCAGTTTGCCAGTATTTTGCTGGGTATTTTTGCATCAATGTTCATGAGGGAGATTGGTCTGTAATTCTCTTTCACTGCTTCATCTTTGTGTGGTTTGGATATCAGCATGACTGTTGCCTCATAAAAAGAATTTGGCAAATGGGATGATATTTTATTTTTGCTCTAACAAATAAAATTTATATGGGGATCAGAGGAAAGAGACAGTCACTAGATTAGACATAGAGGCCAGACAGTGGTGGCACATACCCTTATCCTATCACTCAGGAGGCAGAGATCAATCTGGATCTCTGTGAGTTCAAGGCCACACTGGGAACAGTGTCAGGCACAGTGGCACACACCTTTTATTACAGCACTTGAGATCTCATGTCTTTGCTTGGGAAGGACACAAGCCTTTAATGCCGGGAAATGATGGCAGGAAGCAGAAAGTTATATAATGTTTGAGGACCAAGAACTAGAGGCATTTTAAGCAGTTCAGCTAAGACCTTTGCAGGTAAGGACTCAGAAGCATTCATTCTGAGAAAAACGGGATCAGCTGAGAAGTTGGAGAAGTAAGGTTGGCTGTGGCTTGTTTTATTTCTCTGATCTTTCAGCTTTCATCCCAATATTTGGCTCTGTTTTTTTATTATTAATAAGGTCATTTAGCAATTCATGTCATACGCAAATATGAAAAAAATCCAATTAAAAATGTAATAAAGAGCTAAACAGAGAATTCTCAACAGAAGAATCTCAAGGGGTTGAAAGACACTTAAGGAATTGCTCAACACCCTTAGTCATCAGGGAAAGGCTAACCAAAATGAGTCTGATATACCCTCTGGCACCTGTCAGAATGGCTAAGATCAAAAACACTGATAATAGCTTATGGTGGAGAGGATGTGGAACAACGGAAATACTTCTCCACTGTTGATGGGGGGAAATACTTCTCCACTGTTGGTGGGAGTGCAAACTTGTATAATCATTTTCAAAATCAATATGGCAGTTTCTCAGAAAATTGGAAATCAATCTTCCTCAAGACCCAGCTATACCATTCTTGAGTATATACCTAAGTAATTCTCAATCATATCATAAGGACACTTGCTCAACTATGTTCATAGCAGCAGCATTATTTGTAATAGTCAGAACCTTGAAACAACCTAGATGCCTCTCAACATAAAAATAGATTTTAAAAATGTGGTACCTAACTGGGCGGCAATGGCACACCCCTTTAATCACAGCACTCAGGAGGCAAAGCCAGGAGGATCACTGTGATTTGAGGCCAGCCTGCTTTACAGAGCAAAGTCTAGGACAGGCACAGAAACTACACGAAGAAGCCATGTCTCAAAAAAAACAAAACAAAACAAAATGTCATATATATACACAATAGAGTACTACTCAGCAGTAAAAAACAATGACATCATGAAATTTGCAGGCAAATGGATGGAACTAGAAAATAACATCCTGAGTGAGATAACCCAAACTCAGAAAGACAAACATGTTATGTACTCACTCATATGTGGATACTAGATGTAAAGCAAAGGATAACCAGACTACAACCCACAGCTTCAGACAAGCTAGCTAACAAAGAGGACCCTAAGAAGGACACAAGGATCACCGTGGGAAGGGAAAATATATGAGATCTCCATGAGTATACTGGAAATGAGGGGTGGGCAATCGAGGTTATGAGATGTGGGATGAAACATAAGGGAATGGGATTGTCAAGCTGGAACAGGGATGGAGTGGAAGAGCAATGAAAGAGATAACCATGATAGAGGGAGACATCATGTGGATAGGGAGAAACCAGGTGCTAGGGAAGTTCCCATGAATCCATAAGGATGACCCCAGCTTAGACTACTAGCAATAGTGGAGAGGATGCCTGAACTGGCTTACTCCAGGAATCAGATGAGTGAATACCCTAACTGTAATCATAGAGCCTTTTTCCAGTAACTGATGGAAACATCTGCAGACATCCAGAGCCAAACACCAAGCTGAGCTCCAGGCATTCAGTTGAAGAGAGAGAAGAGGGATTCTATGAGCAAGATCATGATGAGGAAATCTACAGAGACAAACAAACCAAACTAGTGGGAACTCATAAAATTTAGAGGAACACCTGTGGAGCCTCCACGGGACTGGACTAGGCCCTCTTCATAAGTGAGACAGTTGTGTAGCTTGATCTACTTAATAGATCCCCTTGCAAGAAGATCAGGATCCATCCCTGGTGCATGAGCTTGCTTTTTGGAGTCCACCACCTGTGGTGACACATTTCACTTTCTTGATGCAGGGGGAGGGGCTTGGATCTGCACCTACTGAATGTACGAGGCTCTCCTGAATCCCCATGTGAGGCTTTACCTTCTTATAGGAAGAAATGGGGGATTGGTTGGGGGAATGCTGAAGGGATGGAAGGAGAGAAGAGGGGGACTGTGACTGGTATGTAAAATAAAAAAATCTTAATAAAAAAGAAAATAGAAGGGAGTGGGAAAAAAGAAAAAAAGAGTTTGGCATTGTTTCTTCTATTTCTATTGTGTGGAACAATTTGGGGAGAATTGGTATCAGTTTTTCTTTGAAATTCTGGCAGAATTCTTCAGTGAAACCATCTGGCCCTGGGCTTTATTTTGTTGGGAGACTTTTAGTGACTGCTTCTATTTCCTTAGGGGTTATTGATCTGTTTAAATTGTTTAGCTGGTCTTGATTTAATTTTGGTATGTAGTACCTATCCAGAAAATTATTTATTTCTTTTAGGTTTTCCAATTTTGTGGAGTACAGTTATTGGAAGTATGAACTAATGATTCTCTGGATTTCCTCAGTGTCTGTTGTTATACCCCCCTTTTCATTTTTAATTTTATTAATTTGGGAATTCTCTATATATATTTGGTTAGTTTGGATAAGTGTTTATCTATCTTGTTGATTTTCTCAAAGAACCAACTCTTTGTTTCTTTGATTCTTTGTATTGCTTTTTGTTTCTATTTTTTGACTTCAGCCCTGAGATTAATATTTCCTGTCATCTATTCCTTCTGGGTGAGTTTGCTTCTTTTTTCCAGAGCTTTAAGGTATACTGTTAAGTTGTTAGTGTGAGATTTCTCTAAATTTTCTATGTGGGCACTTAGTGCTGTGAACATTCCTCTTACTGCTGCTTTCATAGTGCCAAATAAGTTTGGGTATGTAGTACAGTCATTTTCTCTGAATTCTAGGAAGTCTTTGATTTCTTTCTTTATTTCTTCCTTGACCCAGTGGTGATTCAGTTGAACATTGTTCAGTTCCCATTAATCTGTAGGCTTTCTGTAATTTATGTTGTTGCTGAATTCTAACTTTAAGCAATTGTGATCTGATAAGATAAAGGGGGTTATTCCATTTTTTTTTTGTATTTGTTGAAGTTTTCTTTGTGACCAAGTATGTGGTCAATTTCTGAGAAAGTTCCATGAAGTGCTGAGATGAAGGTATATTCTTTTGTGTTTGGGTGAAATGTTCTATAGAAGTCTGTTAAGTCCATTTCAGTCATAACATCTGTTAGTTACATTATTTCTCTCTTAAGTTTCTGTCTGTCAGACCTGTCCATTGAGCAAACCATTTTCAACAAAATAATCCCAATTAAACACATAGGTTTAGAAAACAAAATCTTTATAGTTAATATAGAATCTGAACAATGTAATAATGGAGCACAAATTTCAAAAAGACTGCCTTATTTTCAAGAAAATGATCTTAATTGCCTTAATTGGAGCAAAATAATATTGACAAGAGTCCTAGAGAAAGGTGTAACTAACCAAGACCATTTCATGCTTGGTCTCAGTACTGAATCACTCCACCAATGTACAAATATTCAAATGAGAAGCTACTTTTCTAAAATCTTCTGGAAAACTAGTATCTGGACACTAGATGTTTTGAACACGAAGAGACATATGCTTCCCACATGTCACTGTGACTTTATATACTGTACTTCCCAGCACAAGTTCTCCTAACCTACCTTGGAGACTATGAACAGGCTCAACAGTTTGTATCATTCTTTAAAAGCAGTGGCAATGTCACATTTTTTATGTATCTTTATTTGTGATAGAGACCTAGATG